GCAGCCACAGCGGCAGCCGGCCCGGGAAAGCTCATCAGAGTGCGACACCGGGCGGTCACGTGCGCGGAAGCGGCTGGCGCGGGCGGGGACGGCGGGGGACGGGCCGGGCCACCGCCTGGCCCTCTCGGAGGACGGGGGCCCGCGCGCGGCGCCTACCTGCCCGGCGCCCCGGGGACCCCTGCGCCGGTCCGAGCTGGCGCTCTCGGTGGAAGGAGGGCACGCACGAGTTCACTGCGACTCCCCGGCCCCGGGCGGGGAGGCGACACTTCCGTCGTATTCAGCCGCCTGCTTCCAGGGCGTCTTCATCGGGGCATAAGGATGGGCCTCGGGCGTCCACGAGTGCCCTGTCGTTGCCTGAAAAACACTAGGTGTCTGCATTTTTCTGGGGAGAAGTCTATAATTTTCCATATTACCAAAGGGGTTTGTGACCCCCCAAAAAGTTAAAAGCTGGGACAAGTCTCCGCTACCCCCAAGTGATGACAGGAGAGCCTTCCTGGCTCTTTCTGGGAGCTTCTCCCGCGAGCCTTTTCCAGACTACAGCTACCCACAATGCGCAAGTTCTCCATCCCCCGTGCAGGCTCTGGCCCTCGAGGGAGGATGCCGTGTGGATCCTGCATCCCAGAGCTGGAAACTAAATGACCTGCAGGTCCCGGTTCTGCTCAGCTGTGCGGTAGGACCGGGGCGGCCAGGGGCTGCTGCACAGCGCACAGATCAGCCGACCCACGGCGCTTTCTCGCCTTAGGATCGTGGCCCACAGCTCCAAATTTCTGTAATCACGAAAGGATGAGAGCCCAGGACTGGAGATTCCTGAGATTCTCATTGGAGTATTGGTCAAAATGCGCTCGCCTCCAAGTTGCTGTGGGTGTAAGGTCAGTCTGCATGAGGAGAATAAACTCGAGCTTCCTCCCACTGTATCCTCATCCCTTCACTAAGCTCCAACAAGCTTCCTACTGGCAGGAAGATGCCAACATGAATAAGATATATAGTTCCTGTCCTCAGCAAACTTACAGGCAAAGTAAATGACCAAAACTAAGTGTGACAAGCACAGATTGCTACAATGACACTGAGGAAGGGCACCTAACTCACTTGGGGGTAGAGGGCATGAAGGAGGTGGGGAAACAAAGCACGGTGTTGGGGCTGAATCTTGCGGGTGAGGTGGCAGTTAGGACATCGGAGGGCAAGAGGGGAGATACCAGCCGGGGCCAGGGCACCAAGTAGTAATGACAAGAAGTTCCACCAGCACGCTGAATCCTAAACCGCAACTCTTAAAGCAATAGTAACAAAAATTTATTTTGCAAGTTCTTTCCTTACACATTCAGAGGGAAAGGCTCTTCATAGCAACATGACCAGGGAACATAAATCCCAGTGCCTGCAGGGACATGCATGTGACGGGGACACAGGTCGGGTGGGTACTATGAACTAGAGAATGCGTGGACCATCTAAACAAGGAAGCGCCACTGAGCGCTTTGAAGGAAGGTGAGCCCCATGTGGCCCGTCTGACTTCAAACATGACTTTTCATGTGATGCCTTCTGTTAAATTAAATTTAGGCCTAAGGATCCCTCCACACTTGAGTTCTTGCTAAGGAACTGCTACTGAAACTCACTGAAAATGTAGCTTAGTTTACTTTTGTAGCAGGCGGATGAGTCTTAGTCAATCACAGCAGCTGAGCTCCATCAATTGCAGGCAGCCCGCTGACTCAAACAAGACCTCCAGCGGCAACCATTGAAGCTGTCCCTGGGCGTCACTTCTGGTTTTTGTCCATTACTGTCTGACTGTGTTGTGGCCCTGGAGTTCTTTGAACCTGTTCTGGTTCTGAGGGCTGTCCCATTCTGAAATGGTGAGTAGAAGTCAATTAGGATCTTTCAACTACATTTTTTGTAATTTTGTCTTTAACACTTCCGATTCTAAAATGTTAGAATCTAATTCAAGGGCTGAGCCCGTGGTGCACTCAGGAGAGTGCAGCGCTGGGAGCGCAGCGACGCTCCTGCGGTGGGTTCGGATCCTATATGGGAATGGCCGGTGCGCTCACTGGCTGAGCGCGGTGTGGGCGACACCACACCAAGGGTTGCGATCCCCTTACTGGTCACGAAAAAGACAAAAAAAAAAAGAATCTAACTCAAAAAAAAAATTTTTTTAAGGGCCTGGACTAAAGAAAATGCATTTGCTGGCTGCATTTGCGCAAGGGAGCCATTTCCACCTCCAATCCAGAGCAGCTTTATCTGTCGTAGAGATCCCTGCTCAGTGACGTGCCAGCTGCCTGGCCTCTCCTGAGACACCTCCAGGGAGAGGAAGCTCCCACCACCCAGAGGCCCTTGCTGTTTTCATGTGGCTCCAAACTACCTCTTGGTCACTCTCCGTGTCGTTCCACTGTCCACCATCACTGGGGGCAGGTGTGAACGTGAACGTGGCAACCACAGCCCCTCAGGCCGCCTTCCCCAGTCACACTCTTTTTCTCAGGTATCTGTTCTTCCAACATTAACTGAGTAGTTCGTGTGTGCTGGGCACCTCTCTCAGCCCTGGAGACACAAGATGGGTAGACAGACGTCCCTTCCCTCCTAGGGTTTACCTTCTAGTGCAGGATAAATACTATAACCCCAGTGATTATTTAATTACAGCCATGATGGAAAGATGCTGTGACCATGCACGTGAAGGGGGAGAGGGGCCCCATACTTGGCTCCAAGAAGGTTGGTCTGATCTGTCAGCCCTTTCTCATGTGACATGTTTAGAGACTCCTGCACGTTCACATCTGGGTCTGCTCCTCGGAGCATGTTTCTGTTGGGTGAGTTTCCTCCTTGTGCTCAGAATGAGCTTCATTTCAGGTGAGGTGTGACCAGCCTGAGGACGAGTGCACATGTTGGCAGCTTCAGCACACGACCACCTGTTCCAGCCTCGTGGCGTGTCCCCGGCTCTCCGCTCCATTCCACCACCTCGGGAGGATCACCAGGACTTGCATCTGCTGCAAAGTGTGAGGCCCGGAGCCGGAGCCGGCGAATTCTCTTAGCACCTTGATGAGTTAGCAAATCCTCATTTCCTCATTTTATGTACAGGAAATTTAACCGGAAGAGGGTAAGTGACTTTCTCAGGGATGAGGAGTGAGAACCCAGGATGACCAGAGCCCAAGCCTGTCCTCTCCAGTTTTGGTGCCCCATGCACTGGCAAATGCAATAGGGACTTGGTGACCAGCAGAGGCAGGACGCAAATGGGCCACTGGGTATGGTCTCTCCAACCAGAGTCCCTCAGCCCACATTTATATTTTTGTTCCCATTAAAAAGCCTTCTAAAATCCAGACATGTCCACAATTCCTCAGTAATCCCATTTAATTGGCAAATTTGACTCATGTATGTATATGTACAGACAGTCCCCAACTTAATGATGGTTCAGTGTAGAATTTTTTGACTTTACGATGGGTTTATCAGGGTACTAGATGCGTTTTTGACTTAATGATATTTTCACAATACAATGGGTTTATCCAGATGCAACCTCATCGTGAGCCGAGGACATCTGTATTTGAAACCCCACCTTATTCCAAAAAGGATCTAAGATGTCAGAAATTAAATTGATTTGACACCATCTATTTTAGAAAAACCCCAACTCATACTTAATGTTCATTTTATTTCCTAAGAGCCCCCCAAAAACTATCCTTTTAAATAATTTCCTTCTAGAATAGGACAAAGTCAAGTCCACCAGTGTACAGTTTGCTAACCACCCCTCACCACTATTTATCAAAGTTGATAGTAGCAATTCAGGAGGTCTCATTTGCAAATAATTCATACTCTAAGAAATCAATTGTTTGTTCCCAGGGACTCAAACTCATGTCCTTATGTAATAATTAACATTTGTTTAGCATTCTGTAGATAAACCTTTGTGATCGCCTCACCTCTCTTAATAATAATTATCAATGATAGCTAACGGTGAGCACACATACTCTAGCTGGGCACTGAGTTAAACAGGAATGAAACAGAAAACAGCTTATTCCAATTCTCCCCAACCCATTGTCTTAGTCTGCCATAAGAAAATACCATAGACGGGGCAGCTTCAACAATAGAAATTTATTTCTCACAGTTCTGGAGGATAGAAGTCCAAGATCAAGGTTCTGGAGAAGGTGGTTTGTGGTTTGTAGCTTTTAGACAGCCACCTTCTCACCAGATGCTCAGGTGGCCTTTCCTCGGTGTGTGTGGACAGGGAGGGAGAGAAAGAGAACACGTGCTCTCTGGTGTCTCTTCTTAAAAGGACACTAATCCTCTCAGATCAGAGCCCCACC